AGATACTCAAACATTTCTTAGCCCACAATTAGTATCTGTGCTGAATGAGCAGTAGGGTTGGACTTGATGTTCGAGTCGAACATAAGTTTGACTCGAAAATCGGCCGCTAGTGTGTTGGGTAAACACAAGGGCGTTCAGCAGGCTGTTTCACCTGTCGCACTCCACAATGCACTGAGCACTGACAGCGCATTGTGATTGGCCAAAGCAATGCACCTGACCACAGGTCAAGTGCAATGCTTTGGCCAATCACAGCGCATGATGTCAAAGGAGGGCGGGGTCACCAGGTGATCCCACCTCCTTGTGATGTCATCACAGTATTTAAGGACTGTCAGGCTGGCGCATCTGTCAGATGGCGGGAGCAAGCGTCAAGAGCGGAGTGTTTTTTTTTTTTTTTGGGCCGGCGGTGGGCATCGTGATTGACATTGCATCTACTTCATGGGACATTTTTTTAATTTTTGTTTTTAATAAAGGACTTATCAAAGATTGTCTTCTGTCATTCTTTCCACTACACTTTTTGTTTGTGAATGAGTAGTGGTACCATGTACCCCATACTCATTCACATAGAGGAGGGGCCAGGATAAGGGGGCTTCAGAATTCTCATAATCTCCCCACCCGCATACCCCCACAACCACCGGCTAGAGTTGTGGGGAAGAGGCCTTTGTCCCCATCAACATGGGGAGAAGGTGCTTTGGGGGGCATGTGGCTTGGTATGGTTCAGGAGGGAAGATGCTCGCTCATCCCCCCTTTTCCTGATCTGCCGGGCTGCATGCGTGGTATGGATTTTGGGGGGATGCCCTTGCCGTTTTTAAAACATTTTTGGCATGGGGGTTCCCCTCAAAATCCTTACCAGACCTGAAGGGCTTTGTATGGGTGGGGGGGGACACCACATGCCATTTTTAAAAAAAAAATTCAATTGCTGGTGATTCTTTTTACAATCACCTGTCAGTGGGGAGATGTGCTGACAGCTGAAACATTAAAGAATGTTTTCACTACTAAAATACCGGATGACTTAGTGAATTGTACCTGTTCAAAGTTCATGATCGAACTTTCGTTTTGTTCGAATATTTGACTGCAAAACAAACATGGGGCTGTTGGCCCATCACTAATGAGCAGTCAGATGCAGTGGACTCAGAAGATCTATAAAATAATTATTTCTATTTCTTCTCATCCTTGGCTTATGTAGTTCGTTGAGTATATTGAAGGTGTACTGTTTTGCAGCCACACTCTGGAACATAATTGTATCTACAAGTTTTTTTTCTTATCTCATTCCTTTTCATCAGCCTTCCTGATGCGTCTGTTGGAAGTTCATGATGTTCTACTGTTGTGCTCCATCACCTCAAGAATAAAAGGATTTTCTTTTGTTTTAACATTTTTCTTCATCATCATCCTTAGGCTCATAGCCTGGTCTTCCTTCATGTCAAACAGGGATGAAATACTGTACGTACGGAGCATTTGTCTTTTGATTTTCCAGGAGAAAAATACATTTCTGACCCAAAAAATCCAATATTGAAAAATAATCAAGACACATTTTTATACAATAAACCATAACCAAGTTTCATGACATCATAAATTTTCCAGTTTCCTTTTAGGGATTGTTATCTCCACATGCTATACAGTGTGAATTGGTGGCATCAGAATACCTTTTACAGCCTTATTCAATATAAAGACTGATAGATACAGTATGTATTGTCATGTTAAATGAGTTCTATGATTACAGCATACACTTTCATTCTATAACATCAGTATTGTAATAACAATACAAACAAGAGTTATATTTGACAATCCAATATACGCTTACTTAAAGCAGAATTCCTGGAACTTGAATTTTTTTGCATGTGCAGTGGAACTGTGCCCACACTGCAGGGGTTAACTGCTCATTTTGTACTAGGAGAGAGCACAGTGAAGATATACTCACCCGCCGATCTTCCCTGTGCAAGATTGGTCCTTTCGGCTCTTGCCCACCCCCCTCCCCCCATGGTCCAACAATCTTGTAAATGGGTTGTTCCTGACATCAGCACGCTCAATGCATGTTCCACAGACAGGAACAGTCATCCGCTGGTCCATGGGGGAGCGTGATTTTCTATAGGATTCATTGCGGGTCAGGTGAGTATGAGCTTTGTCCTCACCCCTATAGAAAACGAGCAACTAATCCATACAGAAGGTGCACAGCCCCACTGCAAGGTAAAAAAAAATTGACCAGCGTTCTGCTTTAAGAGACCTCCTTTCAAGCAGTTATTCTTGTACTGACTCCTCCTGAAACTCCTCCTCTCAGCGCCTCTGTAATTCAGAAGGCAGGCTATGTGAAATGTGTGACACAGCAGTGCCTACTCACAGGGTACAGTGAATATGTGTAACAGATTTCAAAGAAGTAAATGTGTGAGATCTTCACAAAGTAAGTTTACAAACTTCAAGATTGTTCAGAGTAATAGGGTTAGGCTAGAAATATTTGAAATATAATGTGGAAATTAATATATGATTTTACATTTTGACTATAGATACACTTTAACTGCATGTATGCTAAGTAGACATGTGCGTTTCATTTCATTACAATTCGTTTGTGGACAAAAATGTCATTTTCGGAGATTCAGATGTATATGAACATCCAAATGGAAATAGTAATGAATGTCAAAGAATGCAAAAAAAGTTATAGCAAAACCATCAAATGCATTAACTTCATTCTTTTTTATATGGATGATATCACATGATGCGATAGTAGTTCAGCCAATGGAGAAATGAATACACTTTTGGAATTTTTCAATAATTCGGATTCAGCTAATGAATGGACCTGAATTTTGATCCATTTGTTAATTCAGATGCACATGACGCCAGTCAATATTATCCAATTAACTCATGCCATTTCTCTTAATGGGTTGGACTAGAGTCCAAAAATAATGAATCCTTCTGATTTGAATCTGTCCAAACTGATATTATATTGAATATATAGCAATCCGGAAAAACTGCTAAATTTTTGGAATTGACCCAGACCAACAAATATATAAAACGATTGCCGAAGAAACAAAACAAATTTCGAAAAGGAATTGGTTCAACATAACGAATGTGATGCAGTGAAATTCTTCAATGAAAGAATGCATCCGAAATGAAATGAACATTTCTGGCCTGCACATGTCTAATGCTAAGCCATGTGTAAGTATAACACTTACAGGAGTTTATTATCTCAAACAGAAATCACTGTACTCCTCCTGACAATACAACCATCTGTTTTTTCTCTCTAGGATGTTGCCATCTTTGTTCAGGCATCATCCAGAGTCAACGTCTATTTTCCGGACTGTGGTGCTGCCTCAGAAATGACACGCTGATGTCTAAGTGCGATAGCGCTGTACTATTAAGAGTGAGGTATTGATATTTTTGGATATATCCTAAAAATCAGTCCTCCTTTACAGGGGCTGATGCGCAGTGTAGTTGCTGTGTAGATGGACCTTGCTCTGGTCTGGGGCTGCGACCTCTCTTGATGGTCTCTTGGAAAACACTCAGTGGATGGCAAAACTATGGGGTAGGTATTGAAGAACCCAGTACAAAAGTTCATGACATAAAAGTCCAATGGAAGAGTTTATTAAACAAGCGTATCCATCCAACATGTTTTGGGGGAAATGCCTTCTTCCTTAGGGCTGAATTTGTAGGTACGAGTGGACTCATGGGGGTTTTTTTACTAAAGCTGGAGAGTCCAAAATCAGACTCCCTTCTGCATAGAAACCAATCAGCTTCTAACCTCAGCTTGTTCAATGAAGCTTTTGCAATGAAACCTGGAAGCTGATTGGTTTCTATGCAGAAGGGAGTCTGATTTTGGACTCTCCAGCTTTAGTAAATAAACCCCATGATGACCACTGTCAAACCTGGACTTACTTCAGACTGTTGGCATAGTTAGACAACTATGCTGGAAGTCTGAAATAAGTCCAGGCTTGACAGTCTGGATCAAGTCCTTACATAAGCCTCACACGTTGGCTTCATCTGATACCTTTTGTTCAATAAATACTTTCATTTGACCTTTTTGTGTCATAAACTTTTGTACTGGGTGCTCCTCAAAACCCACCTTTCAGAAATAACACAGCCATGTAAATCCTACAGTCTTTGCAGTCTTTGGATGTGTTCCCAAATTTCTGACACAGACTCCAGCCTCTCATCTTTTGACTTGCTAGATAGCTACAATGCTGCAGTCTGATCACTGGGGAAAAGTAGACAGAGGAAGCACTGCCTCCTGCCTGCAGCAGATTGATGGCATCATCACATCTTGGCAACAGTCACTTGACTGGAAATCAAGGACTGAGAGGCATCGCTTTTTGAAAACGGATACTGTTCCTGTATATGTAGTATGACATGTCAGGGAGTTATTCATGCAGAATTGTAAAGTTTCCAAAAGGTTCACTTTAAGGATTGGTGCTTAAAAGTCTGATTTTTTTTTTTTATTAAAGAATACCAATATTGTGTAATTTGTATAAGAATATTTAGAAATTGCTATAAATTTATAAGTATATTGTCTGGTATTGATCTTTCTGTCTATCCGTGTGTAACTGTGGAGCAAGCTATTTGAAGTACATTTCTCCCTCCTGTTCATCTTAGAACCATTATATAAATACAGTCAATATAATATGGAAACTATTTACCTGTCTCCGGGATGATATAGTATTATTAGAACACCTAGTAGACATTTTAGAGTTGAATGTCTTGTTCTGATGTGTTGATTCACCTCTCCCAGTTTTCAGGTTGTCTTTGGGGTCTGACGGTATAGGGTTCAGAAACAGAATTCTTGCAATAAGTCCATACAGGACAGTTGCTAATGTCATTGGCACAGCATAGAATATAGCAAAGTCTATTAAGTAGATCGGAGAGTAGTAACTCCGGTCGACCTTATAGCCACAGTTGACAACAGGGCCATCTCTGTAGACTGTGGTGTTGAGGTCAAGTAAGAAAAACCACATCATACAATACAGGGATGTGAAGACCCAGACAAATACAATGATTTTCTTTGCTCTGGAGAGAGTGCACAGGAACTGGGCTTTGATTGGGTGACAGATTGCCAAGTACCTCTCAATTGTAAATGCAGTTATGGAACAAGATGAAGCATTGATTCCCAAATACTGAAGGTAAGTAATGCAGAGGCATCCCATGTATCCATACACCCATGAGCCATAGAGACTATCAGTTATGTTAGGAAGCCCTGCTGCCACCAGGACCATGAGATCGGCTATAGCAAGGCTAACGAGATAACAATTAGTTGGGGTTCTCATATGTTTAGTCCTTAGAACCACCAGAACCACCATAATGTTTCCAACTATGCCAAGTCCACAGATTACAACCACAAGGAATATAGTGACGACTTGATATTCCAGACCAATCCATTTCTCTGTCCTGGAGGGCTGTGTCATTGAGTGCGGCGGAGGTATGGTTTTCCATGTTCACAGGGCTGGAGGTGCGTTTAGGTTAAAGACCATCCTTTGGTAAGTGATCTTATAAGGATGGTCACTTTTAATGACTTGTCCCCTCTACAGAGGTAATGCCTGTAAAACGAGCAACTTTTCCCCTATCCTCCTGTAGGGAAAAAAATAACCATAAATCAGTAACAGAATTATAGAAAGGACATATATGAGAACATTTGCAGTAAGTATGCAAAATATGGGCTAACTCAACTGATTTGAAACCTACACTTTCAAAACTAAAGGCTTCTTAGTAAGGTGTTCTACAATGATGAACCTGAGAACCAAACAAACATATAATGTAACTATCATGCCATACTGATACTTGGGTGATATCAGATGTAGAAAAATGTAAAGCTACACTGTAGGCAGAATTAAATAAAAAGTTAAATCCACATATGTATTCGTTAAAAAAAATCATTACATTTGTTTTTACATAGAACTAGCATGACCTCTGGTACTTAAGACAAGCAAATTGGGGAGTTAACGATTTGCCAAAATTCCACAATTGGAGTCAATAGGGAAGATCAAATTAAGGTGTTTTTCTCATGGTCCCATGACTTTAAAGTGAGTGTAGAGCCTAACCATGTTTTACCTTAATACATTCCTTACATTATAGGCCTGGTTCACAGCAATGCAGTATGCGTTTTATCCGTTTTGCAATGCTTTTTTGTGGTGCGTTTTCTCGTTTTTTTGGGGGGGCCAACTTGTTGCTGGGCTGAATGCAAAAATGCAAAACGTGTCAAAAAAGCACTACATGAGTTTCCTGCAGTGTCTCCATTGAAGTCTATTGAACTAAAAACGCAACCTTTTCCATTGAAGATAGTCCCTGACCCTTTCCAAAAATGCAGTGCCTCAAAAAAGCATAGATGTGAATATGTCCCATAGGAAACCATTGTAAATGGACTGTAGTGTGTTTCTGCAAAAAGCACTAAAAAATGCATTGGCGTGAACCAGGCCTTAAGATAAAAAAAAGTATCCCCCTCATCCCCCTTTTTACTTTTCTGAGCACTCATTCGATCCAGCGCTGTGGACGTCTGCAGCTCTTCTCCTCCCTCAATTCTGGGTCTCACAGGCTTTGCTAGGGCCATTGTTTCCCAATGCTGTCAATTGAAGCCAGTGACGAGGGATCGGGGAGTGGGGCTGAGTCTCGCTGTCTGTGTCATTGAACGCAGACAGCAGGGCTTGGGAGTGAGCCCACACAAGTGCCCCCACAGAAAGTGGTTTCCTATGGAGGCATTGAACAAAGAGGAGGAGGCAGAAGCACTGGCGGGGACACAGGAAGAGGAGGTTCGAAGACATTCTGTGCAATTCTATTGCACAGAGCAGGTAAGTATAAAACTATTTGTTTATTGAAAAAAAAAAAATGAACAACCACTTTAAACTGCTACTCAAGACTCCCTTCAACTGTCCAGGGCTTGTATTTGGATCAAAACAATGTGAATCCTATGTTTAACAGTAATCCTAACTATAACTAATCCTAGAGCTAATCATAGCCCCAAATGTAACCCTACCGCTAGGATTACATTTAAAAAAGACAATTTTATCTAACACAGTGCCACATAGTAAAATCTTCAATTTATGGGCCAGCTGATTGAAGCTTTGAGCCATCTGTCATTAACACTCTGGAAGTGTTGGACTCTGAGGAGCCATGATTTCTTCTTCATTACAATGACGTTCAGTAGTGTGGAAAAAGTGGACATTTTTTTAAAAGTGGTCTGCAACGGATCACTTTTTAGAGAGAGGAACAAGAGTGGCTGACAGGCATTCCGGAAGGGATAGTGCTGGCTCCAGATTGCTTGTTTTGTTTTTTTAACAGCAGAATTGGGTTTTGAAATGGAATGCCACACCATAAACTCAAGCAAAATGTTAGACTTACAGTTGCGGTGCAGCCCATTCATTCCAATGGGTTGTGTTTAGCAGGGGTGCTGCCTGGCAGACACGATAGGGAGTATGATTTTTGCTGCAGCATGTGTAAAACCTTGCCCAGACACTGTGATGGGCTTAGGGAGGGCATCAGGGAGCGGTAAAACCATGACTCAACAGTCTATTCTTGCTACTCTCCCCTCTGACCCTAAGTGTAAACAAGGCTCTAAGGTGGAGATAAGCCAATGACAGACAGAAAAATCTCCTGCGCACAAGTGAAGTAGGCTAATTTGCAAGAAAGCACATGGAGAATCACTTCAAGCCTTGCTGCTCTCTAGGACTGGGGATTTCTCATAGCAACTAGAAATATAAATGGAAAACCCTCTTTTTGTGCGATTTTAAAATGTGGCAGTTATACATTACATATCCGTTACAAGAAGTGCACAGGTAGAGGATATGAAGTTCAATCATGCGTGCACTTTTCACGTTTTGAGACAGCAAACAATCTCTTCTTCAGAAGTACCTAAATAAAGCATGATTCTTTATAGATAATAGATCTATAATATATTATAGATAAAGCATCTTGCCTTATAGATAATAGATCTATTATACATTATAGATAAAGCATCATGCCTTATAGATAATAGATCTATTATACATTACAGATAAAGCATCATGCCTTATAGATAATAGATCTATTATACATTACAGATAAAGCATCATGCCTTATAGATAATAGATCTATTATACATTATAGATAAAGAATCATGCTTTATTTAGGCACTTCTGAAGAAGAGATTGTTTTCTGTCTCGAAACGCGTCAAATGTGCACTTTCAGCACTGTCATACCTTATTTGCTAATTACTCTTTGAATTTTTTTTTGGACGGATAAAGCTTTCTTTTTGTGGTATTTAATCACCACTGTTGTTGTTTTTTTGGGTATACAAACTAAACAAATCTTGAGATTGAAAAAAACCAGCACATCTTTCTTTGTTTCTGTTATACAATTTTGCAAATAAATAATCTTTCTTCATAAAATTTAGGCCAAATGTGTTCTGCTACATTTCTTTGGTAAAAATAACCTGAATCAGTGTTTATCATTTAGTATATTATTTAATTTGTGTGGAAATTATAGAGTCTACAATCTATGGTACATATATATATACACTGCAGATAGAATAAATATTGAACACGTCACCATTTTTCTCAGTAAATACAATGATCAAAAAAAATGAAAGGAACACTTTGAAAACACATCAGATCTCAATGGGGAAAACCATCATGCTGGATATCTATATTGATATGGACGGGGTAATGTGTTAGTAACCTAAAGATGCCCCATCGTTTGATGGAAATTAAAATGATCAACCTACAGAGGACTGAATTCAAAGACATCCCGAAAATCAAAGTGAAAAAATGATGCAGCAGGCTAGTCCATTTTGCTGAAATGTCATTGCCGTAACTCAAAATGGTACTCAGTAGTTTGTATGGCCCCCACGTGCTTGAGTGCATGCCTGACAACGTTGGGGCATGCTCCTAATGAAACGATGGATGGTGTACTGGGGTATTTCCTACCAGGGCATCACTGAGCTCCTGGACAGTCTGAGGTGCAACCTGGCAGCGTTGGATGGACCGAAAAATAATATCCCAGAGGTGTTGTATTAGATATAGGTCAGGCAAGCGTGGGGGTCATTCAATGGTATCAATTCCTTCATCCTCAAGGAACTGCCTGCATACTCTCACCGCATGAGACCAGGCATTCTCGTGCACCAGAAGGAACCTAGGACCACTGCACCAGCGTTGGGTCTGACAATGGGTCCAAGGATCACATCCCAATTCCTAATGGCAGTCAGGGTGCCATTGTCTAGCCTGTAGAGGTCTGTGTGTCCCTCTGTGGATATGCCTCCATAGACCATCACTAACCCACCACCAAAACTGTCATGCTGAAAGATGTTACAGGCAGCAAATTGTTCTCCATGGCTTCTCCAGACCCTTCTATGTCTGTCACATGTACTCAGAGTGAACCTGCTCTCATTTGTGAAAAGCACAGGGCGCCAGTGGCGGACCTGCCAATTCTGGTGTTCAATGGCAAATGCCAATCGAGTTCTATGGTGCTGGGCAGTGACCACAGGGCCCACTAGAGGATGTCGGGCCCTCAGGCAGTCCTCATGAAGTCTGTTTCTGATTGTTTGTTTGGTCAAAGACATTTAACACCAGTTGCCTACTGGAGGACATTTTGTAGGGCTCTGGCAGTGCTCATCCTGTTCTTCCTTGTACAAAGGAGCAGATACCGGTCCTGCTGATGGGTTAAGGACCTTCTACGGCCCTGTCCAGCTTTCCTAGAGTAACTGCCTGTCTCCTGGAATCTCCTCCATGCTCTTGAGACTGTGCTGGCAGATAAAGCAAACCTTCTGACAATGGTACGTATTAATGTGCCATCTTGAAAGAGTTGGACTGCCTGTGCAACCTCTGCAGGGTCCAGGTATGCTACCAGTAATGACACTGACCCTAGCCAAATGCAAAATTAGTGAAAAACAGTCAGAAAAGATGAGTAGGGGAAAAAATGTCAGTGGCCTCCACCTGTAAAACCATTCCTGTTTTGGGGGTCGTTTCATTGTTGCCCATCTAGTACACCTATTGGTAATTTCATTAACACCAAAGCAGCTGAAACTGATTGACAACCCCCTTTGCTACTTACCTGACCAGATCAATATCCCAGGAGTTTAATTAACTTGATGCTATACTCTGATTAAAAAGTGTTCCTTTAATTTTTTTGAGCAGTGTATTTGAAAATTGTTTAGTTCTGATAGTTGTGTTACACTATTTGATTTATTGTATATGGAATACCTACAGCGCAGTGGATCTCCTATATAACAAATATTGCAGCTAACATGTACTGTGTTCCCACATATAAACCATAAAACAAAAAAAAATAATGTTTAAATAAATCAAACATGCATATGTGAATATTGAAATATATAATCGTGCTACGTGACAATATTATTGAACTAAATATAAAC